CCCCAAAACCCCAAAACCCCAAAACCCCATAAAATAATGAAAAGTGAGGTTTTAAGAAATGCTTAAATTAATCTTTTTATTCTATAAAGTTTAAATCCTTAATTGAAGATATTCATTTTAGATCCAATTATATTGCTTAATTATTTCAAATTCAATTAAAAATCTCATTTTAGTATAATTATTTAATCATTGGTTTTCAGCCACGCTTTCAATCCACTAAATACGCTTGCCATATTACCAGAGACCCTTTTGTATCTTGCCATCTGCGTTTATATAAATGCCTTCTCCATGCTGTTTTCCATCATACCATTATCCTTCGTACACTCTTTTATCAGGCCAAGTGTATTTTCCAAAACCCTATTTTTTATCTTCATGATATTCTCCTTCATAAACTCTTCCATCACTCCAAGTAAAGTTTGCCTCTTCCTTACATATTATTGTTATGCCAAGAACCTATATAGACACTTCCATCAACCCACTTGTACTCACCCTTGCCTTAAATGTGATTATCACTGAATTCACCTTCATAAATATTACCATCTGCCCATATGAACTAACCATGTCCATTTTTATTTCCTTAAATATATTATCCTTTAAAAGAGCCTCCATCAGGCCATGTTTCTACTCCAAATCCATGTTACTTATCTTGTAACCATGAGCCTTCATATTAAGCACCATTAGCATGAATATATTTACCGTTCCCATCTGCCTTGTCATTAACCCATTCACCAAGATACACATCGCCATCTGCAAGCTTTAAGATTCCATAACCATTGGCAAATCCTTCTTGCCATTCTCCATGATACTAGGAATTATCAGGCCAAAGCAAACTACCTGGGCCATGCTTAACCCCGTCTTTGAGATATCCTTTATATTTCATTCTCTTTTCACCTTACAATTCACATTCCAATTCATAGGTGTATTCAAGATCTTCAAGCCTATCTTACCATTTCTTCTCAGCTATCTTATAAACTTCATCATGCTAGAAATCCCAATCAGTCTTCTTACCACTTTACTTTCTAGGGGCACCATTTGTTGTTTATTATGAGATAATTGATTTCTGAGTTCTGATGGACTTTATTTCTGGATTTTTTTTACATATCTCTATTCCGATATTATGATCTTAGCTTCCGCAACACTTTAAACGCTAATTTCCCATTTTTTATCAATATATTGAAAATAATATTTACAAATTTAAAGATACCTAAGGTCAATTTATGAGTTCTCGGGGTTTTGGGGTTTTGGGGTTTTGGGGTTGCGGAAGCT